TTTTAACATGCATTCCCAATTGTATATCTTCTATGCATTTTTGGAAATCAATAAATACCTCATATAATTTTTTCCATTCCTTTTATGCAGTGTACCAAAAAAAAAAAAAAGTTTCCTGAACATTGCAGTAGCATAATCTGGCATAATTTTTCCTCAGTAGTACACAAAATAAAACAAGTTTTCTAAGTCTCTGACCAGCAGCACATGCAAAACTTACACCGTCATGTCATATACTGTTTTTCTAAACTGCTAGCAAGTTTTAAGACTCCAAACACTGCTATTTTGCCAGCATCTCTGGCAAACTTTTATTTTGATTTCTGCTTTTTTATTACCCTAGACCTTCCTCATGTTCCCATGCATAAACGATCAAGTAAAAGACTAACAGTAGTAGGAATGGTTTCTATATAAAAGATTGAAAAATTATCTAATTCTCCATATACTTTCCAAAATGCTGTTGCTATGTATATTTGTTGGAGACTTCAAAAAATCTCTAGGTATTTTAGGATTACTCGCTGTACCCAACTGGAGAATTAACTCCAAAAAAAGAATACCTTTTCCAGTGCTGCATTTTAAGGTGCAAATTGTCAGCTATATATTTCTTCAAATCCCTGGAGAGGATAAGAAAGGCTTTATGCAAATCCCTGCAAAAAAGGGGAAAAAAAGGATAAAAAAAAAAAAGAAAACCTATTCATACTCTTAAAAAAAAAATGCAAGCCAGTAACTTACATAAGTATATGAGGCAAGTAATGTTGCCAGGATGTTCAGAGTATTCTATTGAGCAGTTAGGAAAAAATAAACTCTGTTTTGTAAAGAAAACATACACAAATGTACACACACAAACACAAGCCTACTTGAACAAAATAACTTGACAACTATTAAAATATGTTCTTAGGAATAATGTATATGGGTCAAGGTGTTGAGTTGCAAGAGAGAAAAATTTCAAGTCATACAGACTTGAGTATTGTTTTGAATTATTGGCATACCTAAATGAAAATTTAACTCACTGCTGGATCGAGGGGCTCAGATGATGGCATCAGAATCGGTAATAAGTCCCACTGGGCTGATTTATTCTTTTCTTTTCTTTATTGATTAAGGTATTACATATGTGTTCTTATTCCCCCATTTCCCCCCACCCTCCCACTCATGCCCTCATCTCCCTGGTGTCTGTGTCCATTGGTTAGGCTTATATGCACGCATACAAGTCTTTTGGTTGATCATTCCCCCTTACCCCCACCCTCCCCTACCTTCCCTCTGAGGTTTGACAGTCTGATCGATGCTTCTCTGTCTCTGGATCTGTTTTTGTTCATCAGTTTATGTTGTTCATTATATTCCACAAATGAGCGAGATCATGTGATATTTATCTTTCTCTGACTGGCTTATTTCGTTTAGCATAATGCCCTCCAGTTCCATCCATGCTGTTGCAAATGGCAAGAGTTCCTTCTTTTTTACTGCAGGGTAGTATTCCATTGTGTAGATGTACCACAGTTTTTTAATCCACTCATCTGCTGATGAGCATTTAGGCTTTTTCCAAATCTTAGCTATGGTAAATTGTGCTGCTATGAACATAGGGGTGCAGCCTCTGCTACTGTTGATATATTCTTCTTTGTGCTTGGCTTTCATTTTCAGACAGCCTATTCCTATGTGATGTGCCCCAGCCATACAGTCCTATTTCTCTTTTCTTTAATTTCAATAGAAGTACTTGAATTGGGCACTTGTGAATGTTCTTCCTCTAGTCAAATATATTAATAACCACCACTGTGGACAGGTGTTGAGACGTGATTAACAAAGCATAGATTTTATGTCCAACTTTGGAGCTAGGGTTCAAATTCGATCTAAAAGAACCATGTAAACTGATGATGGAAAAGGGGATTCTTGAACATAACTGAGAGCCCTCTTTTCAGCAAAAGGGAAATGGTTGCATATTCAGCAAAATCAATGGATATCTTTTAGTGTTTATCCTTGGCAAGTAATATAATAGGATGCAAATGCTTATTGTTAGTATACTAGTAAAGAGCTGTGTGTTTCAAATTATTACATTACTTCAACTAACATATTTCTCCAGGAATGGTTTAAGTGCCTCTTCCATCAGCAAAATCACCTCAGCCTTCTGAGTTTTTGTTATTTTACATCTTCACAATGTTCTAAACAAAAAATTCTGTATTGCCATCCCCTAACTACTTCTCTAGATGAAAGATAAGTTTTGTGGCTCTATGATTTTAAAATAAGTAATTCAGTTTAATTCAATAAACATTCAATGATTTACTTATGGTGTTTTATGCATTAGGCATTATGCTGTACACTGTGTTAAATATAAAATTTTATGTCTCAGTTTCTGATTTCTATAGCTCAAAATCTAATGTGAAGAAACAAAAAGAATGTGAAATTCTGAAAGAATAGGAGTAACAGATAAAATCAAAGAGCTGTACTAATCTTAACAGATTTTTCTTTTAAAACTATATGTATATCCTATATAATAGAGGTAATATGCAAATTAACCATCATACCATCACAAGATGGCTGCGCCCACAGCAGAGGTGGGGTTCCCATAACAAGCGATCAGCAGGGACCTGAGGCTGCATGGAGCCAGGCCAGGGCAGAGGACCTGAGGCTGTGCCCTCCGCCTTGCGGGGCTTGATGGGAGACCTCAGGCTGCACCCCCCGCCCTGGTGCTGGCCCGGGGGACCTCAGGCTGCACTCCCAACCCAGCAGTGCTTGATGGTGGACCTCAAGTAGCACCCCCTGCCCTGACCCGGGGAACCTCAGGCTGTGCCCCCCACCCAGGTGCCGGGACAGGAGATCTCAGGCTGCACCCTTTGCCCTAGGCCAGGGGACCTGAGGCCGCACCCCCCGCCTGGCGGGGTTTGACAGGGGACCTCAAGGTGTGCCTGCCACTCTGGTACTGAGCCAGGGGACCTCAGGCCATGCCCTCCACCCCGGCATCGGGCCAGGGGACCTCAGGCCGTGCTCTCTGCCTGGCAGGGTGTGATGGGGGACCTGAGGCTGTGCCCCCCGCCCAGCAGGGCTTGACGGGGGTGGGGCTGGCCAGGTCTGGATCTTGCCCAATGGGGGTGGAGCTGGCCAGGTCTGGGTCTTGCGAGATTTTGAGGTATGCATGGGTGGGCGGGGACTTGACTCTGGGTCCCATGGTGCACCCCAGACTCTGACAGGAGGAAGATTTTCATATACATTTTACTAATTTTCTTTCATCTCTGACACTTCTATTATTGAGAAAGGGCAAATAGCAATATTAAAATATTTCCTCTAATTAATTCCTTTTTAATGTGCACAAATTTCATGCACCGGGCCACTAGTATGCATATATTATAAAGTAAACAGCAATTGACATAGTGAAATAGTAATGCATAAAGATATAGAATAAAGATCAGACAAGGAAGCCTAGAAAATGCCTAAGTATATTTGGAATGTAATATATGATAAATGAAGTCAAAATTAAATTTACTTAAAATAAGGTGTGAAATAGTTTGGGAAAACAGACCAGATAGTTGAAAAATTAAAGACAGGTGTATTTTTTCATGCCATGCAACACAAATTTTAATTGAATCTAAAATTAAATTGTAAATTTTTTAAAGTAAAGTTTTAGATTAAATTATATAATATTTACATGTATGTGTATATGTACACATATATACATACCTATACTTATATATATATATTCCTACATACATATTGGAAACCAGAAATTTTTCTAACTATGGTCAAAATCCAGAGTCATTATTATAATATACTGATAAATTAAATTTTACAAAAACTAAAAAACATAAAGCCTATCATAATAAAATCAAATTGCAAACATCTTGGTGGGAAATATTTGACACTCAAATAATTGACATTTAAAGGATTAGTTTTCTAATATATAAAGAGATCCTCAAAATTAGTTAGAACAAGACCATAGGGAAGATATGTAAAGAGAAGATATAGAATGACATTTAACAGGAAAATTTGTATAATTGTTCCAAATCACATAAAAGAATTTCAATTCCCTACAAAAGTGTCTTAAAAAATCTAACAGAATGACAAAAATTAACATGGTTCAATAGTTCATTGTAAGATATAGGCACATTGATGATGAAAGTACAAATTGCAACGACCTTTAGAAGGCATTTTAGCAACGCCTACCTCTGCAATTTCATATCTCAGAATACTTCTTGCAGACAGACACGCCTTCAAAATGACATACATAAGAGGTTAATCATTTAGAATTATATATAACAAATAAATATTGGAAATAATCTAAATGTCTATAGAGAAGGACTGAAATAAATTATGGTACATCTTTACAAAGAAACACATAAAGAGGAAATGTGCTATTTGTTATAAAAATTACACCAATATGCTGCACATACAGGAATCATAATGTATATTCATGAAATATCTCATTTTGCTTCCCAATGTCTCTTTAAAATTCATTAATTTATTCTTCTCTTGCTTGAAACTTAGGTGGTTCAATTAATTTTTAATAATGCAAGATTGCAAACATTTCTCTGGTAACTTACAGAAGAAAAGCATACTTATGGTTTGACAATTAGATGTTCAGTCCCATTTAAAAACCACCTCTTCTCACTTAATACAAAGTTATGATAAATCCTGAGAATGCTGATAGTGCCTTGTGTGCTCCCTGGTAAGGTGTTAAGGTTGGGCCTTCACCACTTTTCCTACTCTCTTCCCCATTCGGGGTTGAAGGTTCAGGAGGGAGGAGAAATCGGCTATCAGTACAATTCTTATTTAGCAGGTACTGTCTGAAGCTTGATCTTGCTGGTGTTCATAATTCACTCATAAAGGAATTTTGGACATTTGGAACTGATCTTCTTTATCATGATTGTGATCATGGTTGTGGAACTCTATGCTTATGTCAAAGCCCATAGATTGTCTACCACAACGAGCGAATGTTGTTCTATGGCAGTGGTTGGCAAACTCATTAGTCAACAGAGCCAAATATCAACAGTACAACGATTGAAATTTCTTTTGAGAGCCAAATTTTTTAAACTTAAACTATATAGGTAGGTACATTGTTATTAACTTAATTAGGGTACTCCTAAGCTGGCCTCTGCTAAAAACGTCCTCCATCTGAATGAGGTACGTTAGCTTCCAACTCTCCCATCCACACTTGTCTTGTATACTTGTTTCGTCTATCTCCTTTCCGAAAACCGACTTCTGCGCATGGGCCACGAAGTTTCAATCTCACAGTATGTGCGTGCCCGCACGAGGTATTTTGTGGAAGAGCCACACTCAAGGGGCCAAAGAGCCGCATGTGGCTCATGAGCCGCGGTTTGCCAACCACTGTTCTATGGCATTAAAACATCAACTATAATAAATGTGGAACTGATTACCAACTATAACAATGAAGCCTAAGTGTGTCACCAATCAATAACAGCCAAACTAAAGCAGTTAGGGAACAACAGAGCTAACCTAAGTTACTTAGAAAACAGCATTTCACTATAAGGCTAAAGATTGAAAGAACTCTACACATACATTATATTCTAGTCAGTAAATTTGCTTTTCACGAGGCTATGAGTCAGCAATTCTAAATGCTTTATGTAAATGCCATGGCTGAACAAATAAGAAAATAAATTGTAAATAATGTGAGCCAGGTTCCCTCCTATAGCAGAAAGAAGTTACAAAAAAGGAAAACGGGCAGGTAAAATGAATTTGAATTGGAATTACAGATGTTATTAGAAATGTGTGGCTTTTAAATACACACATTTAAATTGATGCATGCATACTTGTAGATAGATGACTGTTAGGGTAGTCAGTGCCTGGGTCCCAAGAAGACATAGAGCTGTCCTTGAGAAAGGCAGCTGGAGAGAAGAAGTCATTTCTCTGAGTCTCTACATCAAGATTTAAGGTTGGAGTCTGGAATCATTAAACTTAGCTTTTCAAACTAAACCACTCAAACCCCCTAGCACATCTCTGGGATTCTCCTTTTATTAGCATTCATAAGCATTAGGTAGAAAGATGGACCTTTTAAAATGCTACAGGTTTTAAAGAGGCCTTAGCATGCCTTTGTTAAGACACCTTCTGAAAGTTAGCCACAGCAACTACTATTTCTATTATGGTGATTTGAATGTCAGGTTCAAAGGCTCTGTCTCAATGAAAATTAGCTATGGCTTTTTGTAATATAGGAGAAGCAGTTTGTGAGATCGTTATACAAAATGTGAAAAAATCATGTCTTTCTACCAAACAATAAATGAGAAAGAATCAAAATAAAGATTAAAATGTGTGTATATGTGT